CTGGTCATTCTAAAAGGCTAAAAGGGGTGGGTCAGGTATTTTATCCGGCTAATTTGAGCAATTTAGTTGAAAATACTAATAATGGAACTAAAATAAGTAACTTGTTTGCTGCGCACTTTTCGTCAGTCTACACACAGGACAGTTAAATAAATTGCTTTAGTAATGTATCCTCTCTAAATGAAAACTTTTCGAATGTTATGCCAATTAGCAATTGTTTTACTTCATTAACTATTGCGGCCAATACATTGTTAACTAAACTTGAAAATCTAGACACATCGAAAGGGGCTGGACCTGATGACATTCCTAATTTATTTCTGGTTTCATGCGCAAAAAGTTTAATTACCCCTCTCTGTATGATTTATAATAAATCGTTAAGTACCGGTATAATTATTCCCAAACGTTTGGAAAGCGGCCAGAGTAGTACCCATACCTAAGTCAGGCAACAGCGCATAAATTCAGAACTATAGACCAATTTCTATTTTGTCCAGTCTCGCGAAGGTTTTCGAGTCTGTAGTGAATTTACATGTGCAGCATTTTTTTAGGCTTAGTCTCGCAGATCATCAACATGGTTTTATGAAGACCCGGTCTACTTGCTCAAATGTACGTTTGTGGAGACTTTGTCAGAGGCCTTAGATAAGCAGAAACAAGTGGATGTAATATATACTGACTTCAGTAAGGCCTTCGACAGCGTTTCCCCACGAAATTCTTTTAAAGAAATTATCACAATACGGAATAGCGGGCACTTTTCTCAAATGGATACAACCATATTTAACGGATCAGATCTTTTATATCGTATTGAATGGTTATACATCAGATACTTATAGGATTACATCTGGCGTTCCGCAAGGATTACATTTGGGACCAGTTCTCTTTAATATATTCGTCAATGATGTTCCCAATTGTTTCCTAAATTCGACTCCATTTATGTTTGCCGACGACCTCAAAATTCTTAAAGTAATAAATAGCCTAGACGATATCAAAAACCTTCAAACAGACTTGGATGCACTCTCCAATTGGTGTTTAAACAATAAAATGCAACTGAATGTATCTAAATGCCATTACATTCAGGCTGCCAAATTGCAAGAGGTTGATTGTTTTAGGGACTTTGGACTTTAAGTGTAACTTTGGATAGGAAATTAACATTGGTGCCCCACATGGAGAACATATTGAGGACAGCCTCCAAACTGCTGGGTTTTGTGATCAGAAACAGCAAGGTTTTTAGAAATCCAAACACTAAAATATTGCTATATAACTGTCTTGTTAGGAGTACGTTGGAGTACTGCAGTGTAGTATGGCGTCCGCACTATTGTCTACACAGTCCCCGCATTGAACGCATACAAAAGCGTTTTATGTGGCATTTAATAAATACATCTGGCATGCAAAATACACTTAAAAAGTCTTCATATCGTTTTAAATTGAAGCATTTCGGTATTGATTCACTCGAAAAGCGTAGGAAAGTACTAGACCTTATATTCTTTTACAAAGTTGTAACGAATAAAATTAACTGCCCAATGCTTCTTAGTAAAATTAAACTGCGAGTTCCAACGAGATATCCACGTTCAATAATCACTCCTTTCTGCCCACCCCTACGAATTTGTCGTCTAACTAGGCTTGCTAATGAGTACAGCGGCTCGTTGGATATATTCAATGATTCTTTGTGTAATTTCCGAAAATGTATTAACTCCGTAATTGACAATTAATCTAACATTGAACTGGTGAACACAATAGACATTCTTCTTTTGTATATGTTAGTAACGTTGAATTTTTATAGTTTCGCGTGCCAAGATGATATACATATATAACTAGGTCTGAGGGCGGGAGTTAGCGCGATCGCGTAGTTGGTGTTGCATGCCTCTGTCTCTGTCGGAGTGCCGGGCGGTCCGGTGTGTGTGGTGCCCTCGGATCATGCCAACAACCTTGTTTGTATGATCTGAGGTGGTGCCTGTTGCGAGGTCGCTTTGATTCCCGCTCGCATGCTTTCGGATTTTAATTAGACATATGTTTCCTGTTTTCATTTCTTAACACTATGCATGTTGTGTTTGCTTAAAATGGTTGTACATTAGCCAATTCTACCACATGTAATTTATTATTATTAAGTACCAATGTTACGACTGGAAGCAAACCATAAATAAATAAATAAATACTGCGTAATTCTAGAGGTTTTAAGAGTAGCAAAACAAAGATTGTGTTATACAATAGTCTTATGCGGAGCATCTTGGAGTACTGTAGTGTTGTTTGGCGACCTCACTATGTTGTACATATGCTGCGACTGGAGCGCGTTCAGAAACGTTTTCTTTGGCACCTTGCATTCTGCGAGGGGAAAACTAAACAGTTGCCGTCGTACAACTCACGTCTGCAGTACTTCAGGATGCAACCATTGTCGGTGCGGAGGATGATTGTGGATGCATTGTTTGGATTTAAACTTCTGCGTAATCAAATTAGTTGCCCTTGCTTGCTTGATCTGATTAGATTCCGGGCTCCATCTAGATATCCTAGAAACACTCTCACGCCCTTATACCCACCTTTACGTAGAACAGTTTTGGGTGCTAACTCGCCAATTCCCAGACTTTGTAAAGTAATCAACGGCTGCAGTGGCATAGTAGATATTTATAGCGATAACATTGGGAAACTTTACAGTACCATTGTCAACTTTTATAAAAAAAATTGGTTAATTTATGAAACGAGTGTATTTATAAAATTATGTTGCATTGGTTTTATTTATTCATTGTACTAAATTTCTAATTTGTTATTGTCATTATTAAAAAAAATGTTGTTATAATTAAGTATTTCTCTAATTTAAGATTTATTTCATTTTTAAGCTGTATACTTTTATAATATTCTAAGCATGCGGTGTTAACCTTTAATAAATTGTTACACTTATATTAATAATAAGTTTGTAAATAAATTGTAAGGTGCAGTGTACACAATTGTTGGTTAGCCATAAAATAGATAAATAAATATGAAGAGTACTTTCGCCGATTAGCATATTAACAACTGCCCAAAATCAACCGTTGGGCCGCGTCCCGCCAGGCATGATCACCTCGCCTGGTAGGAGGATCCTCCCTTAATGTAGGAGGGACATGACACCCGTTCCTACACAGTGGTGACCCCGACGTACGGCTAACTCATTACAAAAGAGCGTCCTGTTAGTCCGTTCTAACGCAGTGGGCAACGATTTATCTAAAGAAGACGAATTTAATTAAAATAAGTCTGTTGTTATAGAAATTTTTTTATGTGCCTGATCTTGACTTGTTGATGTATTATTTGTATGTTGATTTTTTTGAATGTCAATGTTAGTATTACGTAATAATAAATGAAACTAATTATTATGCATACGTAATATACAAGAAGTATATTGTTTACTTTCGTAATAGCTAAAAAATGAATATGATTAGTGGAAAATTTAGCGACAATTGGAGTAGTCCCGTTTTTCGATAGTGGTTTTCTGGTGGCACGGTACTATTATAATACAGTACTCCAACTTCATACAAACGGACGAAACGGGAGCTATACCTACGCGCCTCGATCTCGGGGTGCGCTCGGGGCGCAGACAGTCACGGCTGTACCGCAGTGTCGAACGGACTGCGTGTTGTTTTTTTAACAATAACCGCGCGATTTTTTCTCTAAAAATCAGTTAATATGACGAGTAGGAAATATTGTGCTGTTTTTGGTTGTATGAATTCGTCAATAACGCATCCAGACATAAGTTTTTTTAAATTACCTGGAAACTCTGAAAAGTAAGACTATAAAATAATTTTACTTACTAGTACGTAGGTACATAATGTGTGTCTTTTTAATGGATAAGTATTTCCTTTTATCTCACGAAAAAAAAGGTGTTTGGATGAATAAATAAAGCAAATAGAGTAACGGAAAGTTATTGAGACGAGTGAAATAGGGAGTTACATGCGGTTCTGAATGAATCATGATACGGTAGGTACCTACCTACTTACGCTTGTGTTAAAACTTCGGTGCATGTTTGTTTTGTTACTTTGCATAATTCAAAAAAAAGAAAATTCAAACTAAAGACGTGGTATTTTATTATTAATAATATTTCTTTATTATCTGTGTGTATGAATAATACTAAAAAAAATTTGTTACCGTCTGTGTGTCATTAGACAGTTTTCGAAATTTTCACAAAGTGTTTCTGCTGCTACTATAACAACATATACCACTAAAAACTGGTTTTATTTTCTCGGTATTAACAACAACAGCTAGACTCATATATAATATTTAGATGTTTGAGGGTTGTGATTTTAAAACATTCGTAGTCAGCTGTTCAGCTTTTTAATAATTAATTAATTGGTGACCAAAGAATTTTTGTTTTGAGTTGTTGCGAGTTGTAGGTAGGTACCTAATTTATAGAGACGTTAATTAGCTGAGATAAAAAGTTACTTACTCGTCAGCTGTTTCTTGCATTCTAGTTGAGTAGGTGGTAGGTGTTGGAGTTTCTAAGGATTGGAGTTTTGTAACGCGTATGGAAAAAGCACATTTATTTTATTTTATAGAAGGATTTTTTTCGGTCGCTAATTTATAAGCCCGATTTGTTTTTCAAACAAAAAAATGTTTTTTAATTAAATCTACCAATCAAAAAACAACACGCATTTTTATTGAACAATTCCTATTCAATATACAAAGTATTTCATTTATTTATATAAAAAGGATATTTACAATCACAAATCTAAATAGAAACAGAAAGTAGGCAAATATAATTAAAATGCTGGAGACGGGCAGCCCTAACGCATGTTTAAGTACCGCGCGGCTGTAGGCATTTATTTCTATCATGCGGCCGAGTTACAATACTGTATTATAATTGTACCGTGCTGGTGGTTTTGGAAGGTTTTGGATGTTCAATCTGCTGGAGAGTTCATTTAACTGTTGGCAACACTGGTCAGTGAACTCGTCAAACTAAAATATAGTTGTCGCAGGTTATGTTGGTTAATTATTTATAAATTGAATATTTTGCTGCAATGGCTAATAATATGAAAATTATAAAAAAAATTATGGCGTGGTATTATCCTAATTATTTACTGCCCAAGTAAGTTTGTTTCTTTTTTAAGTTTGTAGAATTTAAACATGTTAAAATTAAATAATATTTTTCCAATAAACGATAATTAAAATACTGACCAGGGCACTGTTAATCATTGCAGCCTCGACTCCAATGACGGGGTACATAAATTAAATTGGTAATCAATTTTGCCAATACAGGTATTCCTTGATACCTTACATCTCTTGGGGGATCTGGGATGACGTGTTTTTTTTTTAAATTTGATAATTATTGCTTAACCACTTTCTGCTTTTAAATAATTAATATTTTAAAACAGCAGAGCTCTTTGAAACAGCTAATTGGGCAGTAACATGTTTACTTCTGTTTTTATCTGATTATCTAAACACCCATACACTGCATACATTACATTTTATAAAATACTAATAATAAAGCAAAATATTTATCTTTCTTCCACAGAATCAGAGGGGTCATTCAGTGCAGAGATTATGCAAGGAACACTACTTTTCCAAGTTACTATCAAAATCCAGTGTTTAGAAAAGAAGATCAAGCAAAACTTATAGAGAGTTCAGAATTGTCTAAAATAGCAGCGTTCCCAGTTAAACCACCCGCTGCATGTGAAACTAGTTCTGTATATCATGATCCAATTGTAAAGTATGTTTATCACTAGATACCAATATTAGATTGTACAGTTGTGTTGTACGTCCACTATCTATAAGTGTCAGTACTTAGTTTAGTTTATATGTAGTACCTACTTTATAAAAAGTAGTATTTAACTTATATAAAGGTATTACTGTGTTCAATGTAATTACATTATCATCATCATAAACTGTAATAAACTGTAGCCTTCACTCCTTAATTAGTAAGTGTTTCACCATTTCAAACAAAAAAAACTTACAACAATGATACACAAACATAAAAATTGAGCCAAATTCAGCAAACAAGCAAACGGGTCACCTTATGGTAAGCAATTACTGCCGCCCAGGGACACCTGCAACTCAAAAGTCACAAGTGCGTTGCTGCCCTTGGAGTCCCTCCCGCTCGAGTAAGGGGGACTCACTCAGTGAAAGGCAACAAAAGAATTGCTTAGCACCAGTTTTCTGTTAGGCCGTGGTATCACTCCGGTCGAGCCTGCCCATTCGTGCCAGAGCATGGCTCTCCAACAGTAAAGTCAGTTAAAAATATCATGAATAAACTAATATTTTCTCTATTCTATTTCTAGTTAAAAATCGTTTACTGTTTACATTACTGTTATATCACTGAGTCCTCAATAAGTTATTACTCTTATTTTCTTAATTTCAGTAAAGTTATCAATCATATAATGGAAATGGGAAAAAAATCATTAGCACGATCACTTATTGAAAAAGCATTTGAGAATATAAAAAGAACACAGATTGAACGCTACCATTTGGCTTCAACACAACAAGAAAAGGATAAAATAGAATTAGATCCTAAGAAAATACTGCATCAAGCTATTGAAAATTCCAAACCTTTGCTTCAACTAACACCTATCAAGAGAGGTGGTATAACATACCAGGTTAATATTTAAACAATATTGCACATATTTTAAATACTCTTGATTTAATTTTTTAAATTTTGCTTTCCATTAAATATAATTATTACTAACGAAAGTCAACTAACGTGATAAATAGGTAGGACATTCTTTTTGAGGATGATTCGACCAGGTTGTAATTTCTAAGGTCACAGAGGGCAGTACATAATGATACTCTACATTACCACTAAAACTGTGACAAGAATAGTGCCAATGTTTAATAGTATTTTTAAGGAGTACCAACATTTATTATTATTTGAAATTAATATTTCAGGTTCCTGGTCCTATAACAGAAAACAGATCCCTGTTCTTAGCAATTAAGTGGCTTTTAGAAGCTACATATGAGAAAGAAAGAACAGTTCATTTCCCTGAACAATTTGCCTGGGAACTTTTGGATGCTGCTAGCAACTCAGGGAAAGTTGTAAAAAGAAAACAAGATTTACATCGTCTTTGTGAGGCAAACCGTGCTTACGCACACTACAGATGGCAATAGTAGTGAATAATGTATATATACTTTCGTGTATTGGCTTTTAACCTATGAACCTATTATAAAGTAGTTTACATATGTGTAACTTTTATTTACTTAAATCTAAATCATTATCATCATCATACATCATTAACACTCTGTTTTTTGAGAACAAATAATGTTTTATACTAACGTAGACTAGACACTAGCTACTTTAGGTTAGGTTTATACGACCATGGGGTACCCTAGTACCCCATGGTCGTATAAACCAGTACCAGTACCAGAACCGGTCTGCAACTAACTGCCTCAAGTACGTACGTAATGTACCTCTGTACATGAACGACTCAAAACTCTATTTCAGTCTCTACTGAAATAGAGTTTTGAGTCGTCGGCCCATGTCGTCTGGTGTTCCACAGGGGCCTGTTCTTGGACCACTCCTGTGTAACATAGGCTTCAACTAGACCCTTCGAGGTCACTTACCCCCCGGGCTCGGCGTAATCTGTTACGCTAATTACACGTTAGTCACAGCCTAGGAGGCAAACTTTTAAAAATTGGTGGGCCTAGCCACCAGTGGAGTCTCTCTGATGGTCGGGCGCATCAAGGCGCTGGGCTTAAATAAAATGAAGGCTCTTTTATTTTACTCTGTTCGAAACCGACATAACACTCACTGAAAAATTCGGTGCGGCGAGGAATAAAACTATTCGAGCCAACCCTACCTTCCCAATCTTAGTAATCTAAATTACCTACGGATTTACATAGCGTACGTTGCTAATGTATTTTACGTACGTACGTGTCGTAAGAGACATTACTAACGATCTCGAAAGTGACCATGGCGAGCAAAGGCATACTCCATAAGTACGTGAGTCGCTGTTTCCTCTGCCTTCATGCATACTCTATATATTGGGCTGTTGGTAGTACCTATAATAGAGCAGCCCTAGAAAGGGTTTCGGGATTTACTCGAACGTGTCAGATTAAAATTGGAGGAATACCGTACACCCAGTTGAGTAACTCCACCATACATGAGCTCTACACATAAGAAAAATATTCATTTGTTCACAAAGTTTAGCGACATTCATAATATAAACACTAGAAATAAAGTCAAACTCGTGTTGCCAACGACTAGTCTAAAAAAGTAAGCAAGTCTTCGATGTCAGGGTGTGCGATTCTACAATAAAATGCCAAGCAAATTTTATGAATTAAGTATTAAAAAATTTAAGTCCGTTAAACAAAAACTATGTGAAAATGCTTACTATACGGTTACAGATTATTTAGATGACAAATTTACTTGGGATTAATGCTGCTCACTCCCACATTTAAAAGTGATGAACATTTAATTGTTTGTTGTAATTCGTATTTCGTTTGTTTTCAATTTCTTTATTTGAAATTGAATTGTATAGTTTTTTTTGTGTAAGTATGTAAATGTGACTATAGAGTATAGTGTAGGCATGTAGTTGGTTCATATTTTAGTAACTTTCTGGTGGTATTGAGTGTTTCCACGGCCCACTCACGGTAGTGTCGTGTTCCGGGTTGTTGATCCTGACCACGGTCCTGACTGTATCGGTTAGGCTATACAATGGCTGGGGCTCGTATTGGAAAACATAATCTCAAAAATGTTAATATGCACGAGAGACATGAATGTATTTGTTTTATCGATATCTATCGATTTAAAAACCGGTAACAATACTATCGCTCGGTGATAGCGTTTAGCAGCATGTACAGGCCAGTACACTGTAGGATAGTAGTTGAGTAGTTAGTAGTTTATTGAGTACGCCGGAAAGATTGCCAAATGTAGTAAGTATATTTAAGCAAAGTTTATAAAAATGTATAGAGTAGCGATTCTTTCTTTGATTGTGCTTTGCAAGTCTAAAAGTTTGTGGCGTGCTATAAAGTATTAATAAATGTATTTATAATAAAAATAACGCGCAGCCAAAAGCAGGCAGCTGCGTGTGCACAAAATTATCTATATGTAAAAAGTAAAAACTAGATCGTACATACAAATAATCGACACAGATCGGTCGCTTGACGCTGAATGTACCTATAAGAGCGAGCGGCCTGTGTTGGTAAACAAATCCAAAACAATACAAATGCTATTTTCGTAAATTGTAAGTTTAAAAATCAATTAATATGGATAATTAAATTTTTAAAAACTGAACAATTCGGGATTTTTGTATGTCGGCTACTGTTGTCTCCTCAGCAGAGCAACTAGATTTAGTCTAGTGAGCGGACCGGCGGCAACTAGTTTTATTGTATGCATGTGTGGACTTATACTTTGGCAGTGGGGAACGCCTGCGTATCGCTGAAGCTCCAAAATCGTCAGACCCTTTACCAGAATATTTACTGAAAAACCGTTTCTTAGCAATCAATGATGAACAGGTCGACTGTGTAAGTGAAAAACAGATCTGCAGTTTTTGGTAATTTTGAAAACATAGAAATAAGTAAGACTTAAAAATCTAATAAATACTTTCGACGCGGCAAGCTGTCGTAAACACAACTCGTTTTTGACTCTTTTGTAAAATTTGTCTTGTGTCGTTTCGAAATTGCCGAGCCGAGGTGTTAATAACTGTTTGTAAATTGTATACCTATTTCTATAAATTTTTGTAGTCATACTTAAGTAGGAATTACTTTTTTTTTGTTTCTTTTTTTTATGACCATCGATGGAAAGTGACTCTTTTCTTGAAGGTCGTTGAAGGTCGTAATGGTCCGGAAATACCGCAGACGTGCCACGACCCGTTCCACAGATTGGTTGTGCGGGGTTTGCCCTTTTTTTTTTTTTTTTTTTTCGTGCGACAATCCCCTCGGATACCACCTGTCGGTGGCATGTCGGACTCGAACCGACTAAAACCGCACTCCGTCTCGGGTACTAATAGCCGGGGAACCAGGTATACCCTAGAAAGGAAGTCCCCGGTGCCCCGACATACCTCGGGTCATCTACAGACGAGTAGACGACCCCCCCCCCCCGTGTGGGAACCCCATGTTCCCTGTGCTCCCTGGAAGCGAGCGCGCTTCGCAACGCGCTCGCCGCCGTCCCGGCCTGCTTCTGCTAGGGTGACAAATGGCCTCACCTGTCACCCCCAGGCCTGCGCTTATGGAGGACGGAGGTCGTTCTGCGACCTCCGTCCTCCATAAGCGCACCTGAGTCCGTACCTGAGTCGCCTGCGGTACCTGGCCCGTTCCCGGGCCTGGCGGGCCGGGAGAGTCCTAAACCTCTCCCGGTCCCGCTCCGCCGTCTCCTTCGCGAGCATAACTTGCTCGCAGAAGGAGACGGCAGAGTTCCACGCACTCTCGCTCCGCACGATAGCCGCAATCAGGCTATCGAGCGAGAGAACTCCCACTCCGATGGCCGCCACGAGGTCTCACCTCTGCTCAATCCACGCCGGGCACTCTGCCAGCGTGTGGAGAGCCGTGTCCACGGTCTGGCCATCGCAGTGGTGGCACTCAGGCGTTGGCTCCTTGCGGATCAGACACAGGTGATCCCCGAAACATCCTTTCCCAGTGATCACCTGCGTCAGTCGGTATTGCGGGGTTTGCCCTGTAGGTAATGAGGATGACAATTTTGCCGTGATGAACGATGGCGGAAAGTTGCGTCTGAATCCTCGGAGCACTCTCCATGATATATGCGATAGAGAATGCAGAGTGAAGCCACATCTCTACGTAACACCAAGGATCGAGCCGATAGATGTTTGGGCTATCGGCAATTTAAGTCGCTCTTCGTTGAATGCGGTCCAGAGGGAGAAGATGGTGCCCCTCTATAGACATGAGAACAGTATTCCATATTCCCCCGGACTTGCACCTTATAGAGCTGAAGGCGGTGGGCCGGAGTGAAATACTGCCTCGATCTGTTCAGCACACCGAGAGAGAGAGAATATTTTGAGGATATGTTATTTGGACGCCAAAAATGTTCCCATCGCAAGATCTGACGATTTTAAAGTGACAAAAGCTTGTAGCGAATTGTAAAAAATGCAAACTACAAATTCGAAAAATTGCCATTTCAAGATGTCGAGCGTGTTAGATTTTAAACAAACGAATCAGCTTGATGTTCCTCTCATACTAGCCAAAAATCTGACGATGATTTTGCAGGGTATTTTAAATTTGACGGTTAGAAATATTTTGTTTTTTATGAAATCATGTAGAAAATTATGTAGACATTTATTGAAGATTTCTTTCAGTTTGCTTCAGAATAAAAAAAAAGTCAAGGTCATGGGTTTTTTTGGAACTTTGCGCCCTTTGGACCTTTGAAAAAAATCTGACGATTTGAAGGTGCCATAAAGCAGTGGGAGCTTTATGGCACCTTCAAATCGTCAGATTTTTTTAAATACACGCTGTGTTGCGTCAATTACATATACATTGTGTAAATACACAATGTGTATGTAATTGGCTCAACTTACCTTAATCTTATACGCTCGAGTATTTCTGGCCATCGATTTTTCTTTTTTAACTAATCTGATGGGCCCTGCCTAGAAGCTCCCCCTTATGTATATGGCTCATGTATGGTGGAGGTACTCAACTGGGTGGTACTCGACGACCGTATCGAGTACTGGCCATCAGGGTCATAAGAGGGTACCGCACGATCTCCTTTGAAGCGGCGAGTCTACTGGACGGAATTCCACCTTGGGATCTAGAGCCGAGAGCCCTTGCGGCTCATTGCGAACGAATTTTCGACCAAACACTCAACAAATACCATCGAGCAACCAACATATTCACCAGATATGGCTCCAGCCGAATTCTTTCTTTTTCCTAAACTCACCACTTCGTGGCACCCGTTTTCAATTGGTAGAAGACATAAAGGAGAATTCGCGGCGACAACTGAACTCAATTCCGTAAACAGCGTTTAAGAAATGTTTTGTTGATTGGATTGTTCGTTGGCGTAAGTGTATCGTTTCTGAAGGAGCATGCTTTGAAGGTGATAAAATAAATTAGGATGAATAACAAACATTTTGTGTATTAGTGATCTTTTCCCGGTACTTTCTTGACAGAGTAGTATATATTCGGTATCTGAAAGATAAGTTATTTTTTGATATTCTTTATGA